AGCAGTACTGTATAGTTATTATACTGCATCCATAATATGTTTGATAGAAGACAACTAGATCAGAGGCGCAAAGAAACAAAGAGGCTTCTGGTGTACTAATAGAATTAAAAAAGTGTAACATTTGTAAATAGTATAAAAGTAGACAAATTAAACACTTGCAACTATCTCAAATTAGATGAAATTGTCCAAAAAGTTAGTTAAATAAGCAAAGAATAATTAATATCAAAATTATAAAATTATTATTTATGATCATCACTTCATTTTTTTCACGAAAAACAAAACAAATTGGACACTAATATACAAGTAAAATTAATGGATTCTTCTCGGGATTGGAAAAATCTTCGGAAACAGAACTACTATTTTTCTTACTCTTTAATGTTAGAATATTTATCGGCAACCAAATTTACAGCAGTACTGTATAGTTATTATAATATATTTGATAGAAGACAACTAGATCAGAGGCGCAAAGAAACAAAGAGGCTTCAGTTGTACTAATTGTATAGTATTGGTACTTTCGGTGCAAATTGACCAAAGGAAACAAGACGCGTCAATATTAAGAAAAGTCGCCAAAGATTATAGAAATTGTATGTAGAAGCTTTTAGAATTTTTCAAACAAATAATACGAAATAGAATTACAAAAGTGTAACATTTGTAAATAGTATAAAAGTAGAGAAATTAAACACTTGCAACTATCTCAAATTAGATGAAATTGTCCAAAAAGTTAGTTAAATAAGCAAAGAGTAATTAATATCAAAATTATAAAATTATTATTTATGTTCATCACTTCATTTTTTTTTCACGAAAAACAAAACAAATTGGACACTAATATACAAGTAAAATTAATGGATTCTTCTCGGGATTGGAAAAATCTTCGGAAACAGAACTACTATTTTTCTTGCTCTTTAATGTTAGAATATTTATCGGCAACCAAATTTACAGCAGTACTGTATAGTTATTATAATATATTTGATAGAAGACAACTAGATCAGAGGCGCAAAAAAACAAAGAGGCTTCGTTGTACTAATTGTATAGTATTGGTACTTTCGGTGCAAATTGACCAAAGGAAACAAGACGCGTTAATATTAAGAAAAATATTATATGTATATATATATATAACAAGAAAAGTCGCCAAAGATTATAGAAATTGTATGTAGAAGCTTTTAGAATTTTTCAAACAAATAATACGAAATAGAATTACAAAAGTGTAACATTTGTAAATAGTATAAAAGTAGAGAAATTAAACACTTGCAACTATCTCAAATTAGATGAAATTGTCCAAAAAGTTAGTTAAATAAGCAAAGAGTAATTAATATGAAAATTATTAGCATATAAACACCGGTTCTTTATATTGTTCGAGCAGATAATAGAGTCTTAAATTGCAAAATCGGTAGAACTAATTGAGATAGGAATGTGAGTGGGTTGTGAGGAGTTCTAATCTTTCGCGGCCAGTCTTTTCGCCTAGGCAAGGTTATTGAGTGTAGACTAATGTCAACAGCTAGCATTAAAAATTGAGGCGTAGAGTTGATGAGTGGACGACAAATAATTTGTACTAATATATGTGATTTTAAGTTTAAATTATCGTTCCGAAATGTGATTTAATCTTACATTTTGTTTATTTCGAAATTTAAATTCAGTCTTTAATAAAATATAATCAAAAGATAGTGAAGCGAAACAAAGAAAGTAATGGTGCTAAGAAGAGCATGAAAAGCTTAATCAAAGAACGAAGATTTGTAGATTGTTTACTTACCTGTTTTATATAAAGTGTTACTTAAAATACTACTCTAAATAAATAAATAAATAAAAAAACTGTTGAATATTTTGTATAGTATAGTATATTTATTAAAAAAAAATAGAAAAATAGAATCTTAGCTTATTAGAAAAATAAATTGATTATATACAGTAAATATAAAACAAAAAATACAATTTTAAATGGAATTATTTCATTTAACATGATTATATGTCAGTTGAAAACCATGCGTGCTGCAGCAATTCATCCACTGTTGGTCTCAAGTCTGGATCAACAACAAGCATTGATTTGATAAAATCAATACATTCCACCGAAATGGAACGAAATGATTCTTCGCCAAATTCCAAAATACCGTTCTCAATGTTCGTCATCGTTTTAAAATCTGTTTTGACTGTAAAAGGCGTATATCCGCTAACAAGGTAATATGTGAGAACACCGATCGACCAGACATCAGATTTTTTCGTGATCGGCTTCTGCTTCAGCACTTCTGGTGGAACATAATCCAAAGTTCCTTGTGTCGTTCTCACTTCCTTACCCGATTCCAAACACTTCGCAAGGCCGAAGTCACATAATTTTATATTATCAAAAGAATCCGGTTCCGATAACAGTATATTGTCTGATTTTATGTCCATATGGACTAGGTTTTGGCTGTGCAAAGTGCTAACACTTTGTAACACCTGNAGTCAAAAATCAGTGTAATGTGGCTACTGGTCTCAAAAACTTCATGCAACTGAACAATATTTTTCGATTGACATCTTTTCAAAACCGCTATTTCGTGGTGGATCGCCTCTAACCAATTCTCTTCCGATTTGTTCTTTTTAATGTACTTTGCTGCGTACGACAGTCCAGTCTTCTTGTGGACAATTTTTCGTACGATTCCGAAGTAACCTCTTCCCAAAGTCGTACTTTTCTTATAGAATTTATTTAGTGATACCTTACGGATTGCTTTCTTGTCGCACTCGTCCAAAGTAAGCATACCTTCTTCGTATTCCATGTTGTTGCTTCTGCTCAAAACTTTCAATTAAACTCACAAAGTAAATATATATGTAGCACTGAACTGTTGATCGTCGCAACTTGATTATTTTCAAATACAAGGATTGAAATATGTAACTGCAGTTATGAGATGTGAACTGTTTCAATGTCTGGATAGAACTGATCAGCAAAGTCAGAATTGCTCCTGTATATATTTGGATAATGCAGGAGATGTGAACTGTTTCAATGTCTGGATAGAACTGATCAGCAAAGCCAGTTGCTCCTGTATTTATTTGGAAAATGCAGGAGATTGAGAGTACCTGCAATATATGACAGTCGAAAAGTATGTAAAGACTTTTATTACGGTTCCAGGAAAATATTATTGTACATTGATTTTGTACTTTTTGTACTGAGAAAGCTCACTCATTTTCATTTATTGCCTATCATAAAACAACGGTCACTTTTACAGTCAGGTGTACCAACTATTTACTTTTTAAGCACCAACTGTGAATAGTTATATCACTTTAGTTACTGTTGTTATTGTATTTACGTTGCGGATCACGCATAGTCTAAATATAATTTGAGAACGTG